TGTGGTAGACAGAATAATGTTCCTCATCCCCCAAAGATGTCCGTGTTCTAATCCCCAGAACTTGTGCACGTGTTACCTTATGTGGCAAAAGGAGCTGTGGTTAAATTAAAGATCTTGAAATGGAGAGATTATCCTAGATTATCTGGGTGGGCTTGACGTAATCGCAAGGGTGCTTACAAGACAGGAGCAGGAGATCAGAGAGGAGATGCTGTACTGTTGGTTTTGAAGATGGAGGAAAGGGATATGAGCTGAGGAATGAGAGTGGCCTCCAGAAGATGGGCAAAACGCAAGGAAACAGATCATCACCTTCCTCTGGAAGGTCTGGTGCTGCTCACCCATTTTAGACGTCTAACCTTCATAGCTGACAGGGAGTGAATATGTGTCATTTAAGCCACTAAATTTACGGTAATTTGCTACAGCAGCAATAGAAAACTAATACATTTGCTTTCTCTGTGTTTGTGTGTGTGTTTAACTAGGAGATGCTGACTATGTGATAATAGCTTTACAATAGAAAGAAACTTTGATTAAAAGGTAGTTGGGGGGAAAATGTTTTCTTATTAGAAAAGAGATCAAGTTCTGAATGAATAAGACGAGGATCTATTTTACTCCTGGTTTCCTCCTGTCTTGATTCTGGAGACTCATCATTACATTTTTGGTACTTTTTTAATGTTTTGAATTGCTCCACATTAAATAGAAAATAAAACAAAAACAAACCAACAAAACAGAAAGAAAATTCCAGGCATAGGAGCATATAGCAATATGTGCTCATGTCGTGTTTATTTGATTTATCCTATCCTGGAGTTTTGCGAAGTTATATAGTTGCAATTTATAGCTTTAGATATGGGATATTTAGAAAACAAAAGCACCTACAAATGTTACATAATTCTCCACTATAAATTCACAGAAAGTGTCTTTGACCACAGCTATAGAGGACTCATGGGGGGAAGAAAGTCATTTGAATCAGAAGGCTAGGGTCTGTATTCCATGCTGCAATTTTTCCCAGTGGCCTTTACTCCTTCCAGTATCTTGTGGGAAACCAACTGACAGTTCTTACCGAAGACAGGAAAAGACGAAGGATGGCTGGGCCCAGGGAGTGCTAAATCTTATCTCACAGCTGCTCAGATTGCATCAGCGTCTTTCATTCGCTCGCTTTTAATGGTCACGCTGGCTAAATTTTATTTTTGCATTGAATGCTATCATTTTATTTTCTTGTCCTTTATGAATATATATGGCAACTCAGGATGACTTTACCCTTTAGCCACCGCCTGTATTTTCAATCAAAGTACCTCTACAGATGTTCATGTGAGGCTGCATATGGAAGCCTGGCAGGGGGCCAGCTAGGTAGATTAGGCTTGCTTGGGAGTTCCAGAAACACATAGTTATTCTTTCCACAGCCCAAAATGAGAATTCAATTTTATTTCTTTTGAATGAGACTCCTTAAGCTCTTGGTTTGCCTTGTGGGAAATCCATTAGTACTTCTGATGAGAGCTCATGGTTATTTGCTCTGTTTTGTTTTGTTTTGTTTTGTTAAACTTAGATTAGTAACCTTAAAATCATAGAAATATAATCATGGAATGAGTAAGGTTTAAATGTTCGAATACTAAAATGCCTATAAAGTTTTAGTGTAAACACCTAAGAAAAATAAAGTACCAAAAAAGAGGGCAGTGTTTCAGCAGAAATCAGACTTTCTTACCGCTCCATACATCAGCTTTGCTTAGCTGTCCTGTTACCATTGTGTAGTTGAAGGATGTTTGGGGATTCTAAGTGTCTTCGGGGGTGCGAGGGAAGCAATTCTGTGACATTGATTCCTGGTGGCTGGAAATCTCCGTATTCTGCATTATTTAGATATAGATATTCATGGCTCAGGACGCATCATAAAAGAAAATAATAAACTGTGTGTCTCACTGTATCTTTAGGAATTCTACAAAAATATTTTTTGAGGTTTTCCCAGTGTCCCATGGACCCCTGTAATACCTTTCAATGGCCTAGAAATGTTTTTTATTGAGGCAATGTCACTACATATGGAGGTCTCTAATGTGAATATCTCTATGATATTAAGGGCCAGATTTATGAGATCTCGGCATGTGAATTGGTCACGCTTTTGCTTGTGTGGAAGCATTTGGGTTAGACTGACTTCTGGAAAAGGACCACCCAATCTTTGCAGATGAACTAACAAACTGCTACCAATTCCAGGAGGAGAAGTCACTAAGACCTTAATGAAGGAGAATTGTTTGCATCACTTGGGAATATGTCAGCTGCAAAACTTTTGCCTAATTTGACTCTTCCAGAGTCAGTCCGATTCCATTAGTAATTTGATAAAAAGCGGGAGCCAGTTGGCTCCAAACCAGGTGTCAGTATGCCCCCAGCCCACAAGCGCACTGCCACTCTGTGTGGTGTTGCTCTGTTCTGTAAAACAGATGTTATGATTCACTCCAGACATCCTGCATTTCATTAGGGAGTGAAATAGTCACTTAGTTATCTCATTCACTTACTTTTCAATGGACTGAACATGTGTGGTCTGTAAATTCTAATCCCATTTTAACTTTTACTTACAGGATATGCTTTAGAATGCCATCACCCCACCCCCACCCCCATCCCCACCCCCCCATCGTTCTTACAATTTTCACTTCTTCACAGTAAGTTTTTCTGGTCTTTTTAGATGAATGACTCTAAATCACATTCAAAAGAGATAGTTATTCAACATGCAATGGTTTTCAGATGTTGTCATTTTCCTGAAACAGTGTTGTTGTTGTTTTTTTCTTGAAATAACCCTGGTCTTATAATTCAGAAGCTTGGTTTCATATTTAATCCGCAGAAATTCTAAGTGAGGATAAGCCAATTTTCTCCTGTTGGTTTCTTAACAGTCACAAACTGACACTGAGACTGTGTATATGTCACAAAAGTCCTAGAAGCTGACTGAGTACCGTCTCATGAGATGCAGAAAACCTGAAGGGTTGGCCTTCTCCTTTTACAGCATTTCCGTCCGTGGGGTTGGCCATAAACATGGAATCGGTAGACAGGTAAATGAATGGACGTCCAGCCGACCATCCATTCAGAGTCTTCTATATCACTCATACACTGCGTCTGCTCTACTCCATTCTCTGCCACTGGATTGCAGAGAATCCCAGAATTCCCAGAAGGGGAAAACTTCAGTGATCACCCTGCTTTGAATGTTGTACTTCATGATAAATACACTCTGCTAAAGTCTCCTTGTTCACTGTATCTTTCCGCACTGTTTTTTGTTGGTTTGTTTCCAGTAAGACTCTTTGTGCTGTATTTAATCTTTTTCACACTATCCAGTGTCTTGGTAGAATGCAGCGAACAATCCTTTTTACCCATTATAATTATAATACATAATGACTCTCTGAGGCTCCTTGGTTATAACATTTTAATTTATACTTTTAAGTAGGATGCGGCGGAATATACAACAGCAGAGATCAGACCTCTTTCTTTTCTTTTGTTTCTTCTTTTAAGTAGCTTCCATTGCTTTCTCCTCCTCCCTAATTAATATAAATTGCTTCTTTCGTTTCTTCCCTTACTCCTCCAAAGTCAGTGATAGTAGACGGCAACGCGTTAAGAGATAGATAACTGTGGTCAGCACCAAAGGAAAACCATTCTTAATTCTTAGTCGATTTTTTCTTTCAAAATTACAAAACTGATGGTTTTAATTAAACTTAGAATTGTGACAGTTTCACCATATTGCATTAAATACGTGTCTGTAAAAAGTTTTGTGCAAATATTTTAAGCTGCAGAGACCACAACAACATTAGTGAATTTTTTGAGTACATGTTCTCTTTCTTTGGTGTTGTTTCCCTTATTATTTTGTTTCAGCTTTGCTCCATAAACTTTAGTGGAAGCTATAGTTTATTTCTTGAAGGCATGATGGTTTTCTCAGGGAAAGGAAAAAGCCTTAATTGGCGATGGCAAATAACCTAGAATTCCTGGAATTATTAATAGTTTGGACATTACTATTTTCAGTCTGTCTCGATTACACGTTCCTTTGTGATGTTTAATATGTGTTATACATTTAATGAATTTTCATTTTAAGAATTTGCTTCTGTACTTTGTTAAAGCATGGAAGTGAGGCTGCTGGCTGGCTGATGAACTCACAAGTGTAGGTAGTGTGCTACATGAGGGCGAGTCTTTCGCTAACACTGGTTTCTGGCCCAGTGAGTGGAGTTTGATAGTAATTCTTGCTACAAGTATAAAAAAATAATTAATTGGTCAGACTCATACATAAAAATTACTACGCAGGAAAATTAAAATAATTTTTAAAGGCATACTAAACTTGGCAAGACTCTAAATATTAAAATAAGTATACCATCTATCTTAAAAGTAAATTAACAATAATGTAGCCTAAAATCATATTAGGACTCTCTAATAATATGGGTTTGTAGGACCTAAATAAAGAAGCATATAGTGAAAAGTCCCTTTTAGTTATCCTATTAAGATTTACTGTGCTTAATTTTTGTGAAGATATAACAATAACTATAAGAGGTTTTCTGCTTAAGTGTCCCAAGGTACTTGTACACAAAGTACATCCAAGGTAGTATATGATGTTCAATAGTTTATGATCATCAAAACCAGAGGATTCAACTTTTTAAAAAAAATTAAAAATGTTAAAATTCAATTTTTGTTTTCTGATGCATTCAGTGTAAACTTAGAATTATATTCAGAATAAAATGTCACTTTGTGATTGCAATTTGTCTATATTTTGGAGTAGATTGTCATAGTAGATTTAGTTGAAATAGTTGAATAGTAGAATTTCACCTGGAGTTATTGCATTGTTTTCCTCCTTATGTTTTTGCAGAGATTTTACATCCTGTTGATTTCACACTCTTTCAGTAATGCTCCACATGGATTTATTTATTTATATGTCCCGAGCATGTTTTATTGATCTGTATTTCTGCTCCAAAGGAAAGAACCCATTTTGAGTGATATGTGATTTTTTATTTTTCTTTTCCTTTCTTCTTCTTCTTTCTTTTTTTGTTTTTAACCAGGCCTTTAGTGAGTTTGAGATTGAGCAGCATCAGGAGTGTGCTTATGATCACTTGGAAGTATTTGATGGAGAAACAGAAAAATCACCAATTCTTGGACGACTATGTGGCAGCAAGATACCAGAGCCCCTTGTGGCCACCGGAAATAAAATGTTTGTTCGGTTTATTTCTGATGCATCTGTTCAAAGAAAAGGCTTTCAAGCCACACATTCTACAGGTCAGCAAATCAGGGCCATGTTTCTCTTTCTTAAGATCTAGGTTTCTCTTCCGGGAATGAATGCAGTGGATCCTATAACAGGAACATTAACGAATCTCTGAGGACAGTAGAAGAAATCTCACTGGAGAATTTTGTAAAATATTTGAGAGCAATGTTGCATCCTACCTATATGTCTTTGTAGTTGAACATTAAAAGGAAATGCAATAATTTGATCTCATTCATGTTCAATGCAGTATGACCAGGTAGAATTATCTCTAAATATTTGTATAATATGTTCCATATTCACTTTGGCAGTTTGATTTATATGTTCTGTTTAACAGTTAAAAATCTATATCTTAGTATTCAAGAATTATGTTTATCTAACATCCTACCTGGTTACCTAGATTTTGAATTAATATATTTTTATAAATCTCAGTTTTGAGATTTATCTCTCTGTTTTACAGAGCTTCATTTGTTTTTCCCTTTATTTGGTATGCAACACAATCTTTTTCCTAATCCTAATCCCTAATTTGACTTTGTAATGAAAATCTTCAAGAAATAAAATATAATTTAGAAAAATATGGAAAATTTTAGGCAAAATGTAGAATAACATTTTTTATAACTTGGAGCCAGCCTAATAATATATTTCATAAATGTCTAGGAAATGTCCTTTTTTTTCATTCAGTTAAAAAATCAGTTGATTGTAGTTTCCTAAAGTCATTTAGCTTATAGTGCCACCTAGTGGCACTCATGATGCATAAACCGTTTAGACACTGCCTGGTAGAAATCTATCTTGGTGTAAAACGCACTAGAAATAGTATACATATTTTACCAGGAAACATTTTGAGTGTAGTAATTTTCATCATGGTTTCCTGATTTTTTGTTTGAATTTTTTAAATTTTATGTGAGAAATCAGAATTTTAATTATTCCATTATCCAATATTACTTTCCAGTTTAATACATTTTGTTATGAGCATTAGATTTATATTGAAGTCTATATGTGAGAAAGTGAATATTGTCCAGGGCGCCTGGGTGGCTCAGTTAGTTGAGCATCCGACTTCGGCTTAGGTCATGATCTCACAGTCC